ATCTATCTATCTATCTATCTATCTATCTATCTATCTATCTATCTATCATTTTATTTTGAAATCGTGACTCTCCTCTTGTTTCTGGTCACTTGCTCTTCCTCTTGTGCCACCAGTCTGATTCATAATTTTGTCCACCTGTTCCTCTTGCCCCCTCATGTGTACTCATAGTTTGCATCACCCTTTTTCCTGCACCAGAGTGTTTCTTGCCTTTTGGGTCAGTCTTGTATTGATTTTAGTTTCATCCATGAGTGTTTTGTTTTGATGAATTTCAGTCTTTGAGTATTTTCTCAGTGTTTTGGTTTTCCTCTAAGTGGAGTGATTTTCTGTTGTATTGTCATGGCCTCGTGGTTTCTCAGTTTTCTGGAGTGAGTATTATTTTGTCTAAATCCTTGTTTATTTTCCTCTGATTGGCATAGCGATCTATTCTTTGGAACTAATTTTCATAGCCTTGTTTTGCCTGTGTTGGAGTGATTTTCATTTCCGTAAAGTTTAATTGTTTAGACCTCCTCCACTTTTGGAGGTATTTATTTATTTTTTTGGTAGATTTCGTAGCCTTGTTGCCTCTCGCTGAAGAGCGCTTTGTCTTGAACAATAACTTTTCATAGCCTGTTGATTGTTTCTTCAATGGGAGAACTGATCATTAAAGACTTGTGAAACTATTCCTGCATCAGCGTCCTGAATCCTGACACATTAACTAACGTCTGCTTTACTACTTTTATAAAAAGATGCCACAAAGATGGAACCACTTGGTGTGTAAATAAAAACTCTAAATCTGAATCCAAAAACACGTTATTGGTCAATCATGAGATGTGAAAGATTGGTGTTAAGCCATTAACTTTTTGAATACATTTTATTTCTATGTCTTAAAAGAGGTTTTAAAAAGTAAGCTTTGGCAGGGCTGAGCTTTCTGTTCTTTAGTCTTGGGCTTTTCAGCAGGTGGAGCTGTTGAACCAATTTCAAAAGTCCAAGCAGGAACCCACAAGTCAGTGTGTTGTAGAGAACATGAAGAGATGCACAAGACTCTGTGTGAGGCTGGAACTGAAAGTAGCCATGCAAGAACGTGAGTGTTTTGGGGAGAACAAAGTTTGAAGGAACATCGGTTTCATGGTCACAAGAACTCTTTGGAAAATTAAACATTTCAGGAAGTTAGGATCAAAATTGAAATAATTCCTGGAACACCTTTATAAAATCTAGCAAATTAAAACGTGCAGCTTTCGTTTTAAAGTGGGTGGGACTGATATTGTATATCTTAAAGACTAAGATGTGTGTAAAACATGAAAGAAGAAATAATAAAAATAACAGTTGTAACTCTTTTCTAAAATATACAATCATCAGTTTTTGTGTATTTCAATTTTTTTTTTATTGTTGAAAGATGATTAAGAATAAGTCCTGAGTTGGACAACATGGAACGAAAGAAAAAATACATAATGAAAATATTTTTATGTTCAATTAATTTTTGTCTATTTGAAATTAAGATTTGTGGTGTTAGATGAATACAGAATAAGCCAGGTCATAGTAAATACACACACACACACACACACACCCGTCAGACCACAGCAGGTAACTGGCTACAAAGCTCCTGAATTGTCTCAGAGCCTTCTGAAATACATCAGCCTCTGCTGTTCTGACAGCTGTATCCACACAAAGACCACACTGGTACAGGGATGCTCCCTGCATGTCCACCATGGCTAGTCTTTGTACTGACCACAGTGAGACGACTTAATGTCGCACCACAATAACATTCACTGATGATAGCATTGGTTTGTGCAGGGACATGTCTCCCTTCCACAAAGACATCAAGTCATCCTTCCAGCTCCTTTCAGACTCGATGTACAGTGGAAAAGGAACCCCACACCTCTATCCATACCTGTGAGAAACAGCAGACACTTTAATCTGAACACCTCAAAGCTTATAGAACATCCAATTACTGACAAACCACATGATCTAAAGTTGCTACGGTCAAAGTGAGATAGTGTTTTTCATAAAATGGGAAAAAGTTGATCTTTTGTAATGGTTGTGTATCTTCAGAGATTCTGGATTCTTAGATTTCGATTACATCGGGTCTGACGGTTCATCCCCACCATGGTGCTGAACTACTTTGTGGTGCAGTGGCCCTGAGTCAGCAGGCGAGCAGGAAGGTGGAGATAGCATCACAGGTGATGCAGGCCGGTTATATGGAGTCCAAGCAGAGCACTAAGAAGTTAAAAACTGGAAAAACTAAGACGAGACAAATATTGAGGGAAATAACTGGGAACATAAAAGAGTAAAACCCCTTATGCACTTATAACTGATTCCTATTGGCCTTCATATCAGCCTCTTTTCACACACCAAATGCTAAGTTATGAAAGTCTTCAAATGAAAATCCTAAAAAGAGCTATGTGTTTCTTTATTTAATTTGCCATATCAGCAAAGTTATTTGAAACGGAAAAAGGCTGCAAAATGTAATATTTACAAAAAACTCTCCCCAATGTAAAGAACAGAATATTTTGTGAGCTTCCAAACACAGGGAGTGCTTTGTCCTCCATACAGTGAGATAAGGCAGACGATCAGACCTTGAGTTAAAGCACTCAATAGAACATTTCTTCTCACACAGCTGCTTCTGTTCCCATCTCCTCCATATCGCTACAAAGGTAAGAAACACTGATATCTTTGGCTGAAAATCTGAACTTTTCTGCATTTCTTATCATTTTTAACCTTTAAACTGCCATGAAGTTAGCTCTATATAGTAGTCTGCATTTCTATAAGATATCTATCTATATGTGTATATATGCTTATATATAATGATAATTTCCGATGAATAATTCAAGTTGAAAAATTGAAAGTTGATGTTAATTTTTTCAGCATAAATCTACTTGTAGCAATACCCCATATCAGATTTATAGCAAAGTTCTTGTCAGTGTGTGGGTTCGCACGAGGCCCTTTTCATTAAAGACTGGACATGAACATACAGTTTCTTTTTTTGTAACAGATCTGTTATGGTCTTAAAGTTTATTGTGGGCAGAGGTTTTGTTACATCTCTGTCTAATGCTTAAGGAAGGAAAATTTAACGGATAAAAGAACGGAAGATAAGATATTTTATAAAAATAAAAATAAAAACATTTCAAGGTATAGCAACTGTGTACTGAATGTGGGTTAGTAAAAAAATCCCATTTTAGGAATGGCAGGGAAATGTTCGGCACATCTGTCCATTCACAAATAAATTCTGTCTCTGTTCGTATTGATGTTTATACACAGTTACAACTGGCACATGGGTAGGTTGAAGCTAACTTGTGAGATGTATTTTTTTTAAAACACATTTTTTTACAAGTCACAGTAAAAACCAGATTTTAACAGTTTTGTGACACTAGTATGATATATAAGTTGTAGATAATCAAATTTGGGTTAACTGAAAATACATTTATTGTGTATACATATTTATTTATTTTTAAATAAATTCCCAACCGGGTTGCTGGTGCCTATCCCATCTGACTATGGGAGAGAAGTTGGGTTCACCCTGGACAGGTCACCAGCTCATCACAGGACCACACAGAGACAACCAACCTCGCACACTCAGTCACATGTTTCAGTTAGTATGTATGTATGCATGTTTTTGGATGGTGGGAGGAAGCTGGAGTACCCGTAGAGAAGCCCTACAGACACAGGTGGAACATGCAAACTCCACACAGAGAGGTTCTGGTACACCGGGGACTCGTACCGGGAACCTGTGAGGCAACGGTGACGCCCATTTTGAGAAATGTACAGTATGTAATCAGCAGGAGAACAAGGAAATCATTTCAAAGAAAACAAAGCTTCCCACTAATGTGTTGATGCATTTTACATTAAAAGATTGTTCAATTATGGCTGAAAAAGTATGCTAATTCAAAAAGTGTTTCAGGTCCCTGTCAGTGAGACTCCAGCATGTTCTGCTTCCTGCTAAACTTAGCTGTAATCACCATGCTGACAGGTAAGATTTATTTCAATGTAAAATACATTATTCATCAAAATGTTTACAACAAGACTAAGTCCAAAGATGAGGTCAAGTAAATAAATTAGTCTAGTCATGGCTGAATGTAACACATTGAACCTGTTGAATTTAGATTAGGACACTGTGGACATGGATTATTTTCTTTTTCAGTCTTTCTGTTGATTTGCAGACGAAGTCTTGTCTTTTGCAGTCCATTAATTTTTTTTCCAGAAAAACGAAGTGCTCACCTGGCAACCCTATCCATTAACACATTGACTTTTTGTCATTTTAAGGTCTGTAATCTTAACATTTAGCATGTTCATTGAGGCTGGCATGTTTGCAACGTATCTCTTGTTTATGAACGTCTATGCATTTGGCAGATTATTTTATTCAGAACTACCTGAAATGCAGAAACAACATTACGGTTAGGAGCTATACACAGAGATTCACTTTAAATGGGATTTCTGTGGTGTGTGGTTAGTAAAGACAAGCTGCTCAGTTTTGAGAGATTCAGTTGGAGCTTTCATACATTTGATGTGTCAGAGACAGTCTGAGACACGTGCTGAGACCACGTTGTCTTCAGGGGGAACATCAGCATAGCAGTGGCATGAGAAGCCACGTGATTGGATGATCTGGCCCAGTGAGGCGGTGTAAAGAGAAGAGGTCCCAGTACTGAACCTTGGGGGACACCGGTAGCTTTGAATGAAGGACAAGTGAGGTGTGATTGTGCTCTGCTTGTGACTTCCATGCATGAGAATATGAACGGAGGGATCTCATGGCTGACCGTGACAGAAACATCTGAAGAACAGACTTTTTGTCTCTCTTGCTTTAATGATCCAATATTCAATATTGACCATAAAGGGGGGGTTTTAATCCTATTGGTTATTGGTTAGATAACAGATATGCTGTGCTCAGAGATTGTCTCCATATCTCAGGCAAAGCCACGAGTGAAACCTTTGCTGGTTCTGCTGAGATGAACATCACCCTGTGCCCCATAAGCTACTACGGAGAGAAATATGAGCAGATATATGTGAGTAACGCAAAGTGTCCGATTTAGAAAAAGCCTTTTTGCATTACCTTTCAATCATTAGTAGAAACCATGTTGTTGTCAAAAGAAACCACTGAGAAATCAAATTATCTTTCAAACGAAAATACATTTAAAAACAGTGTTTGTAAATGATGCTTCATCTCAGTCATCAGACGTTATTAGTTCAGTTTTTGTGATATTGTTCAGCAGTCCTGTACATGCACTCACATTTAAACTCCTGAAATGTGTTAATAATTTGCTCAAACATTGTTTATGCAGTTTTTTATTGGATGATCTAATCACTTATTGCCTTGTGGTGTTTGGGTTTCTGTCTTCTATGTATTTTCTGAGAGCTAAATTCCATGTTTTTAACGTGTCTTTTGTCTAGAGCAATGTCATTTGTTTTCCTGATATTTGTTGTTTCTTTACTGTGGACAGGTTTCCTTCAGTGCAAACACATTTGCAGTCTGCTTCAAAGGCTTGTACAAACCTGGCGTAAAAAATGATTGTATTTTAGTGTCCAAAGGAGCCGCTGACAGAGGGAGTTTAGAAGTCCTAAAAAAAGAGATACCATTTGGTTCTCTGGTCCATAAACTCCTACCAGACCTTTTGAATAGTGGAAAATGTGTCAGCATAATTCAACTAACAGACGGCGAGCAATCTGAAGTGAGTCTGTTTTTGTTGCTTTGTTTCTCAATTTTGAATATTTTTACATTTTGTGAAGATATGACTGAAAGTTTCAAATCATTCATTGTTCACAGATTGAACAACTTGAACTCGGTAACTTTGGGACACAAGCAGTCTTAGCAGTCAAGACCCTTTCGGGATACAAAGATGATCATGTGGTCGGTATTTCAGGGAGTTTGCCCAAACCAATCTGAAAATATGAACAGTTCAGAGCAAAAAATTATTTTTACTGACCCTGGATATGGGTTTTTAGTTTATTTGTTGTCTTTTTAATTGATCAAAGTGGTTAATGTAACACAGAATGTAGATTATAATATAACCAGCATGTTATGCTTCTTTAAGGAGGTAGATTTACAGGTCAATGGACTCACAGTTTCAAAGAAGAAGCTGGAGGCATCTGAGACCAATAATGGCGTTTTCCTGGACATAAGTGGATGCAGACTCTCAGGTGGGACCTTATTCCTAAGAACGGAAAGACATGAGACTCATTTCTTTCAAAGCCTTCTGTGCCAGGCCATGCTGAGAAACGTTATGTCTGTCCAAACTTTCTTACTGTTTAGGTCGTGTTTATAAGACCAACACAAAGGTTTTGGAACCAAACATCTGTTCCACTGTGACCTGTCAAGTGAACGGAGTTGCGAATGCCATAAGTGACTGTGGTCCTATGGAGCGTTGCCATAGCAACGGGAGGTAAAAGTCTGAAGATCTTTTGTAATCTTAATCTGTCCCACACATAACAAAACCAAAACACACAAAGTCGTACATGATGTTTTTTAGATTCTTAACCACAACTCTAGAAGCAACACATACAAGGCAAAAATTATGCTCTGACTGATTTAATCCCACTATGGTAATTGCATTTTTTAAGGAAATGCACCACAGTTCATAACCTTAGAAAAACGGCGGCAGGCTAAGTTTTAAGACCACCGTTTTCCAAAATGTGAAAAAGAAATAAGTTGTCTGTGCAAAATAACATGACAGCAAAGACAAAATTCCACCAAAGTGCTAAATAAAATATAAATATTTAAACCAGATTTTAAAGATTATTACTCTAATTTTGTACTTTTGGTAATAATCTATGTTGAATCTGCTATACAGACTTTTGCTGTATAGCACAAATGCTGATTGAGTCTTTTCTTCTTTCTTTTGGGTTCTGGCGTCCTCAGCTGTGTCATGAACAGCGTCTGCACTGTGATTGGCCCAGCTGTGATCGATTTCATTGGCAGAGTTCACTCTGTCCCAGACCGGTGTGCATACACTCTGCTGGGGTCCTCATCAGTTCCTGAGCTCCAGGTTCTAGGAGTTTTTCAGGAGAGACGCCGTAAAGATGTATTTTTTTTGGACCAGGTGTTACTACAACTGAAGAAAAAAGGCCTTCTGATTTCCATGGGACAGGGCAGCAGAGTTCACGTAAGCAAATAAAAACCTTCTGAGAGCACAACCTCAAATAATGCTGAGCTGACAATGACTAGGAAATACATATTTTCTTAGATTATCAAACAAAATAAAGACATTAACTTGATTCATTTATCTGTGGTAGCTTGAAGGGATTCTTCTTCTTCAACTGACACCATCTAACATCCAACAGAAAATGTACATAATAGTTTTTGATAAAGTGTAATAAAGTTTAGTAAAGGAAGAAACTGGTGAAGAGTTAAAAACAGGTATCCTCGTGATCATCTGTGGGAATTTGAGGTTGTGTGGTATACATCTTAAGCAAACTTCTTAAACCCACAGACAATAATAATAAGACGATAACTATATTAAAGCTTTATTGTGTTATTAGCTGTCTTAAAACCAAGCAGTATAAGTACAATGATAATAAGTTGACAGTGTTGAACAAATATTTAAAAAGGCTCTAATAACATTTGAGGTCCTTTGCAAATAAGCATGATGATATAAGTTGATTTTGCATCAACTGTTGAAGGCTATCTATTAAATATGTGCTGGGAATTCTGTGTGTGTTTGCCTTTGTCCTACTTTACTGTTCAGTACCTTCATGAGTTGAAATAATTTTGCTTTAACAGGAATTTTATTGATACCAATACAAAAATAATGAAGTTCATCATATCGGCTCATGCAGAAGTTTTATTAACACACACATTCAACACTGCATGTGAAGTCCAAGTTGTCCTTTTGATTCATGCAAAAAGATTCAACATTTTGCAACCATTGTGGACTCAAACGTGTTCTCTGTTTTCTCCTGCTGTGATGAAGCTGAGTAACAAAGAGCTGAAGCTCAATGCCAGCGGTCAGGTGATCCATGGTGTGGAGTTCTCCAGAAACCAATCAGGAGTGACTGCAAAGATCTCTGCGTGTGACGGCACGGTTTCTGTCTTCTTTGATGGCAACACGGCTCTGATCCACATGACAGGTACATGTAATCAAATCAGTTAGGATTAGAGGCAATATTTTGTCCATAGATTTTTTTTTTTACAAGGCAGGAATTGGTGCTTATTTTCACGGCGTCATCTTCTTAATAATAAGAAAGAAATTAAGGGTTTTGTGTCTACAAATGATTTTTCAGCAAGGCTATTCAAACTATTCCTTTCATCACTTCCAAAATGTAAAAGGGGTAATCAGCCTGAAGAATAGGACAAATCTAGGGGACAGAATGGATGTGCTTGGTCTTTCAATTCCATGGAACAACAATCAGTCAGCTACTTGTCCAGGACCAAAAATGCCAAAATGATGATAATATTAGGTATTATAATTTGTCAAGCAGTGGTGCTAAAACCAAAAATCACCAAAAATAATCTTGTAGCGGATTTGATGTTTAGAGCTGTAAAAAAACACCTCTTAAAGAACACACTGACAGACTTTGGCACAATGGATTCTTACCTCAAAATCAGTTCAGTTAGCCACAGAAATACCATTCAGCGTTTTAAATGTCAGATGTTTACAGATGTTTAACACATCTGCTCTTTCTTTTCTCCAGGTCCCAGTGTAGGAACAGTCCATGGTTTGTGTGACGACTCAAAGGGGACGTTGTGTGATGATAAAGTCTCAGAACACAGTGCAACGGAGTGAGACATTCAGTGCAATGTCCACAATTTGTTTTAGCACAACTTTATGAGTCTTAACTTTATGTTTTTTGCTTCTACACAGCTGTGAGATACAATATGAAGACACTGTTGATGGTACCATCAACTGCAACAGGGCTACTGAATGGTAAATACAAAAAAAGGACATATATGCATCTCTACTGATGTGATCCTCTATTTCACAACAGATTTCCGTGTTTAACCTTTCCTCGTCTGCACCACTGGAACAGGTGTAATTTCCTCACACAGGAGCCCTTCGCTGCCTGCCACTCACACATGAGTCCGAAGCCTTTCATAGCCGCCTGCACACAAACGCTGTGCAAATACCCGGCAGTGGACGGCCTCAGGTGTCTGTTTCTGCAGGCCTACGCCCAGATCTGCAGCTCTCACAGCAAGCTCACGATGGAGGGATGGAGGTCAAAGAGCAGATGTTGTAAGACCTTTTTTCTCTATCTGTCATGTTTAAAAGTAACTTCATCAGATTAGAAGCTGCAAAGAAGCTCAATTAATGATGTGAAATTGAGGAAAGTATGTGTTAAAAGTATGTAAAAGTATGTGTTGAATTTCAAAGAATCGAACAAAAAAAAACAGACCAGAATTTCATTCATTCAACCCATTTTTTTTATTAAACTCAGACCTGTGTGAGATTTAAAGGAGGTAAAATGAAAAGAGTAGACACCGGCTGGGAAAACCGCCATGCATGACTAGACCAAAAAGCCAAGGATGGCGTCCAATGGAACAAGGTTTCTCACAGCAGAACGGGGTCAAAGGTCTAGAGAAAATTATTTGTAAGGTGTTAACCATGCTAACTTGTATGATCATACAAAAGATGGTTCACCTTTCAGGAGCAAACAACAACATAAATCCTGGATAACAGTGAATACAAGTAGATATAGAAGACTCTAAAAAATGTGAAGAATTCCCCAAAAATCTAAATAAATTTCAGGGAAAATCAGGTTTGATAGAGAAATAAAACAAATAATATGGAATATAGTCACATGGAGAGCAATTTTCATCATGAGGGAGGCTTTTCTGCAACAGAAAGTCTTGACAGTCATTTCAATGTAGAGAAACTCATCTTTACAAAAAAGAAGAATGTGGGAAAGGAGTCACTTCTCTGTCCTAGTATTGTGAAAATGTTTTTAATGAGTCAGACTCATTGAAAAGGGGCTAAGGTGTCTTTTGTGCGTCCATTTTTTACATTTTTTGGTGCAAAAGTCAGTCGTACAGAGAGCGTGTCAGTCTAAAGCCTGAAAAACAACAACCACAGCTGCGAGGAGCCTCTTATACATGTGAACCAGACGAGATAAGAGGGATGCCTCCAGAAGACCTTGACTGCGTGTGAGAAGACGCTTTACTCTGTGTTCACAGAGTCAAACCATCACCAACAGAAGGAGTTTCTCCCCTTCACAGAGCGATGCCTCGCCTGGACAAAGTCTCCCATCACTATATTCAGATAGAGTTTGCAAAAATATAGAGACTGTTTTTGTTTTGGTTCAGACAAATCTGTTGTCTGTGGTCACTACTCAGATTGTTAAGAGCTGATTAGAACAAATCCTGGGAGTTCTCGATAGCACAGTTATAAAAAACAGACAGGAAAGCATCGACAACAGAAGGAAAACAGCAACACGTTCCTTGATGTTTTCCGTAAATGTTCATTTGAGTCTTCTTTGCCTTTGCAGCAGCCACTTCCCAGGCCTCCTGCCAGAACAGGTTCTGCAGCGCTCACGAGTTCTGTGGTCCGGACGGCAGTAAGGAGACGCGCTGCTACTGCCGGGCTATCTTTGCCTCCAGGCATAAGCCTACCAACAGCTTTGGTGAGTGTTGTTAGAACATCAACAGAGCTCCAACAGGAGCTGACAGCAGTTCCCTATCAACTGTTACATTTTAACATCACAATTTCATTATTATGAGTTTAATCTCTTAGGAACATTTACTAAGAATATGATTATATCAATTGACGTAATATACAGACATTTCAACTTAACCATTAGATGTAAAAAGAAACGATCAATCCAAAGAGCATGATAATTGATCAAACATGTTGGATGTACATTTCCAAACATTTTGAGAAGGGGAAACCTTTTTCTGGTAACAGACATCTTTTTGTCCTTATGTTAGTGTTCTGGTCAAACGTTATGGGAACTTAATGGTTCTTCCTGGGTTTTCAGGTGAGGTGATCAAATGTGGACCCAAAACTGTTTCGGTGGCTTTGGCCGACTGTCTGCTGGCGGATGCAGGCATCGACCACTCCGCCTTACATCTCAACGACCAGTCCTGTAAAGGGGAAATCCATGAGCAGACCCACATGGTGATTTTTAACTTCAGCAGCAGCAACCCGTGCGGCTCAGTGATCACGGTAACTATCCCCTCCAACATCAAACTCCTGCTCAGAAAGCAATCTCTGTTTGATCAGAGGTAACGTCACAGTCACATTTCAGCCTAAGTTTCTCCTGATCATCTGCTAAAAATGTTGATTCTACATGAGACAGACTAATATATTTACATATCTGTCCCTGTGTGAATCCGTAGAGAAATGACGACCAGATTGTCTTCAAGAACACCATCAAGACACACAACAGCTCCACGGTGGGCTCCATCATCCGCCATGGGCAGATAAACATCGACCTCTCCTGTTATTACACTGAGCCAGTGGTTAAGAGCTTGGCCATCAAAGTCAGACAGAGGTGTGACTGGTGTAAGGACAGAAAATGGGAACATTTAGTTTCAAGAGGGCTGCGTGTACTAGTGGATGCATCCTTTAAGTACATATCTGTCTTCCAGCCCTGTGGTTCAGCAGATTACTTCTGGAAATTACGTTTACAATCTGACCATGACCCCGTCACCCCCCCCCGTCGGCATGAAACCTGCTGATGAAACCCTCAGGGTGGAGATGAAGACAGAAGGGCTGGATGGAGAACTAATTGCTCTGGTGACTGACTCCTGCTGGGCAACGGATCAGCCTTCCTCTAGTGGGAGTCAGAGACACGACGTCATCATCAGCGGGTGAGCCGCGCACGCGGGCGTGCACGTTGATCAAAGTGGGGTTTTTGTGCACAACGATCTGATCTGCTTTCCTGTGTTGGAGCAGCTGCCCGGCCAACCAGGCGGTGAGAGTGGAAAGCAACGGGCAGGGGACGTCCAACCAGTTCTCTGTCAACACCCTCCGTTTTTCCAGCCAAACTGGTTATGTCTATCTGCACTGTAAAGTCAAGCTGTGTATCAGGAAAGACGAGCCTTGTGTTCCGGTACAACCAACTTATGATGACATTTACAATTTCCAACTCAGTGTTACTGTTATATTTTTATTATGAGTGAAGACTGAATAGTTTGACTTTAATCGTGTCCCAGAAATGCAGCAAAACTGAAAGAAGACGCAGAAGAGTCGTTCCAACGTTTAAAGATGAAAACAATGCATTAATCACCTTAGTCTGGTCTCACTAGGTAAGACAAAAATCTAAAGGTCATCATAATTCCCTGGAAACCTTAAATCTAGAATCAATTCATACATTCACAATAGCTCTATTTACAGCTCTGCAATCCGTGGTGGATTTATCTTGTAATTAAGTTCTTTAAAAAAATTCAGAATTTATTTTCACAACTAATAAATAGTTATGTAAAATGTAAAGTCTAAGTAGGTATTTTACTTGAATTGAGATCTTTTTAAAAAATATAGCGCTGCAAGTAATTCATTATAATCCTGGTGTCACATCAACCACAATAAATGTGTGGAATGAAGGTTATCTTACAAATGATAAAATCACTAGTACCTTTTTCTGAGTTTAGAGAACACAGAAAATGGTTGAAGCAGATCTGTGGCACAAAGCAGATCTGTATTGTTTCTATTCATGCTGTGACCCATTAACAGTTCAATCTTCGTTTTTCCTTTTTTAGAAGCTGAAACCACAAACTACCAGCATATTTTCCTACTCCAGTCATGAACTAAGAAGTCCTCCCTCAAACCTGCAGCTCCCCACTCCCGGGGACAGGACGAGTATTTCAGTGATGCCTGCACACATACTTTTGTTAAGAATATTTTAGTTTAGTTTGTTATCTTTTTGTCTGTGGTTAAAATGCATTTATTGTTTGGATATCCAATGTTATGACACCGTTACTTTTGAAGGCCAGTGATTGTCAAAGCCTCATTGGCTATAGCTCATGAGATGGTCAGCATTTCTGTAATCTTATGACCGGCTTTATGTAGTTGAACTGTTTATCTGTGTGCACACAAAGGAATAAGCATCTTTGATATTAGAAAGTGATTGACTTAAGGTTCTGGTGACAGGAGCCGAGGAGTCTGTTCACATTAGTACTCAATATTATGAAGATAGCAAAAAGGCTTTAATATCTATCGAAGAAAATCTGTATCTGCGAGTTTAGAAAAGCTATTGAAATGCCAAAATGGAAAAGTGAAAGTATGTATATGCTTTTGTAGTGTCTGAATAAAATACCTTAATAATCCTTGTTAAGATTCACATTTCTTATTCAGGGTTTAACATTTAAATGTAGAAATTTTAAAGTTATTAACATTTTAAAATAAAAAAATTGGCCTGATCAAATTTGATCAAATGAGATCCAGCATTGTCCAGATTTTGGGACATAAGTGCCGCCTGAAACTGGATGAACCAGTTCAATAAAACCTTTCTTGTACCACCTCTCTGCACCTGAGTCCTGCTTAGAGGTCCAGTTCTGACAAATTTCAGCAGCCAACAATGCAAACACTACAGAAATTGTTAAGGCTCGACAAGAACCGAACCCCTGTGGTAAAAAAAACAAGGAGGGAATGTCTGGCAGTCTTTTTAGGTGGCACGCCACCGATTATTCTCCTAGATGTAGTGACATAAAAACAAACAAAACACAGGAGACCTGCAGAGCGTGGGGGCAGGGAGCCAAGGAAGGCACACTGTTGTTCCTTGGATAAAAAGGATAAGGCAAAAACTGTTAAACACTGTATGCAGGGGCAAAAGATATACAATGGAAAAAAGCCTGTAGGCCATAGGAACTGGGCTCGAGGTTACCATGCAGGTTGTGCGTCAGAGCACTGACTGAACATCCCAGCGTCCTTAAGAAGGCTCCCCAGGTAACTGGCCACAGGTGTGCTGAATGGAAGAGTCGTTAGCTGGACACACCTGTGACTTTGTCCCTCCTGGCCCTCTGCCCCACAACAGAAATGTTTTCAGTCCTTTTCTTACAATGGTCTTTAAAGTTTGGATGAATCATTTGCCGCAAAAAGGCTTGGACAAAAAGTCCAAACGTTGCTTGAAGATACTACAACCTCCAAAAAATGTTTTAGTTTAGCTGAAGGAGAAAAGTTAAATATCCATCCATCCATCCATCCATTATCAATACCGCTTATTCCCTGATGGGGTTGCGGTGGGAACTGAAGCCTATGCCAATTTATTATTATTCAATTATTTGCCTTAAATTATCCATTACTGTGCACATTAAATGTTATGTCCCTACAGCAGCTTGTTCAGAAAATAACCATTTAAAAAGTTTATTTTCTTCACGGTGCACCGTGGCGGAGTCTCGCGAGAGCTCAGATGACACGAGAAAAAAAGTTTCCCCGTCATGGGCCACAGCAGCCCAGCAGGGGGCGGTAATGCACCCTCAGATTGGCTTGCTGATTACTATGAGTAATAAGGAAGAAATCAGGAAGAAACTTTGTCTCCCATGGCTGTCAGGTGGAGGAGTTATTTTGTTTCTAGAGAACTGAAACTTCTGGCGGACTTATTTTTTTCCCCATTCGGTTGAAGTCATAGTGAGAGGGCTGTCAGAGCCGAAGGTGTCTGAGACCAGTAAGTTCAGGACCTGTTTCCACCGCCGGTACCGCTCCGTGGAAATGGGCTTTTTACGTCCATGACAGGGAAATGAAATAATTCAAGTCATTTTCGGAAATGACGGGTAGTTTGACTCAGTTGTTCCGTCTAGTTAATCGTGTGAGGTGACAAACACGATTGGAAATGGCTCCCTGACTGAAGTGTGCTGCGGGTCGTCGCTTGGCTGCCGGCGGGGCAGACCGGGGCTCGGGTCCGGCTCCCGGGGCGTGCGGCCGGGATGCAGCGCCTGCCCCTGCTGGCCCTGCTGCTCAGCTGCGGTAAGGGGCTCCAGATCCGGACCAGATCCCGGATTCTGCTCTTTCTGACCGGGTTCTGGCCCCTGATGTTTTCCTCTGTCTGTTTAGCAGGGCTTGCTTCTCCTCCTGCTCCCGTCAACGTCAGAATGACTTCTGACAACTTCCAGCACGTCCTCCGCTGGGACCCGGGGCCCGGGACCCCCACAGGGACCCGCTACAACATCTCCAAGACGAAGTAAGCTCCACAGGCACCTCTTACATTATCATATCCTAAAAAAAAGCCCTTTCACTCACAGAGCCTGATGTTAAATCTGAGCTGAGAATATAGATTTTCTTTATAACTGGGACATCTAGCAGACTAAAGAAGAGATTTTTTCCCTAGAGCTGTCTATATTAAACTCTAATTCTCATAGATCCCATTCCCCTCACACACCGATAGACTCTCCTCTCCCTCCTCACACCTGCCTCCATCTAGTTATTTCTTATTTGCAATACTATAATCTTCACTTGCACTGCTCACTGTTGCTATAGTGATAACTTTTTATATGCATTTTGCACTACCAACTGTTTATTTACAGTACCAACTGTTTACATATACATTTGCTATACCGAACTTTAACTATAATATGCAATTATCACCCGTCAAAACTTAATTTATTCTCTTTAAAGGAAGCCATCTGTATATATATTCATAGTACAAATTCCACTGTAAACTCTGTTCTAGTAACAACCATCTTTATATTATGTTATGGGAAATATCTGTAAAAACGATTTATAGTAATATTCACCTGTATATTATATTCAGTACATATCCAGCTGTACATTTAGTTCACAATACTAGTTATCTATATGTTATATTCATAGGACAAATATATCTGTAAAATTCTGCTTATAATAGTATTTATCACTATTTTTATTCAGTAGATATCCATTATATATCCTGCACTTTCTGCTATTGCACTTCTTGTTAGACCTAAACTGCATTTCGTTAGCTTGTAACTGTTTTACGATAATAAATTTGAATCTAATCTAATCTTATCTAATCTAAAGTGGCAATAACTGAAACATATTTTAAGGTTTTAAGATATTGTGTTTCATAACTTATTTAACTTTTTTTTTTGGGGGGGGGGCTGTTTATTACCTTTTTTTGTGTGCCACCGCTCTTAAAAATGACCATCATCCCCTTGATCATTCTGCACAGAGCTTATTTGTTGAAGAACATGTAAGGAGTGCTTTTTACAGGAGCCCGTTTAACTAAAGGGTAGTTTATCCAGGAAAAGGGAGGGCAGCCTAAAGCAGCAAAGTTAGAGGTGGAAGAATATTAAAGAAATGCATATTCCGATAGCAGAGAAGGCTCATGAGATGGATGTTAGACGAAGGCTGAGACACTGATGAAGGGAGGTTCCACCTGATGACCCCAGTTACATGCTGGTCACCCACTCTGTGTGCTTTAAATGGGTATCATGTCTGGCCTATTTGTGTGTAGCACAAATTCCTCGTGTTTACTTTGAATGTTACCAGAAATGAAGAAGGCAAAGAAAGGAAACGCATACAAAATAACATAAATGAATGGAGATCCTTGGTGACCCGGGTGGGAACAGATAACGGATGGATGGAATCTAAATCTAAATGGGACGGTGGGAACGCCTTTGTTTGATATTAAAATGATTTTTAAGAATAATGAAAACATTTTCATCTCCTCTTAAAGCAAACTAAAGGTGGAGGTTGTGATGTGAAGAAGTGCACTGGACTTTGCCATTAAAACGTTTCTTTAACTATAAAAATGATATACTGCTTATAGAAATGTAGGAGATTGGGCATATGTCCCTTTTTGCCCGGTTACAGACGAGTCCTCACAGCCTTATCCTGTTCCTCTTAGGTTTCATCTTAAATGATGTTGGATGAGAGTTTTACTTGGTTTTATTCTCTTTGATACCTGTTGCTGAACTTTTCTGAGCATATTTTGTGCACATGCAGCTTGAAATGACTACAATTTTTGCCATTGTCCCAACATCAGTATAATTTATAAATCATATAAATAATTTGAACTGACCAGATCAGAAAAAATATGATCACCATGAGGGCAGCATGTACTCTTACTTTGTTAGAGAGGGAACAAAAAAATCTTTATCGTGGTTTAGAAGTTGAGGTATCTGTGGAAGAACGTGAGGCTGCTCTTCTAGTAATTTCCTAACAGTGAATATTCCTGGTTTACCGATTCCCACCAATGTGCTGCCCCAATTGAAAGAGAAAGTTCTCATTTTACACAAACTTTCAAACATAAACAGAAGATCTGTCTAGTTGTGCGTAGACATTTTGTTTCTGTGTCACAGACATAGAAGGGCAATAACAGGAAGTGAGAGAATAGGCCTAAAACAGATTTCCCCAGATTAGATTCAGAATGCGGTTAGCAGTTTAACCCTCGAGGCTTCCAGGACACATGTCGTTTTTAGAGCTGTTGACTCACCAGTCAGTCACAGTGGGGACATCTAATAGTTTTTATTTCAGAAAAAAACCAAAGACCCTCTGAACGAGGAGTGTTAGAACAGCAAACACACAAGATACAAGGTATCAGTTGTACTTTGATCAATGTTCACATATGCTTATTATTATGATTTACATTATTATATTTACATATATTACATTCACATTTACATTTGAAGATAATGTGCATATAAATTGTACATTTATTGCACAATTAGTGGGCATGACTCTGATATAACTCGCTGATTAGACCTGTGTCCGTGCTGATATTTGTTTTGTTTATTTGATTATTGATGTGTGGTGGTTCATTTTCCATTTGTTAAATAAAACACCTGACAGACATAAACATGCATATAATAAATTGTATTTTTTTCTGTATTTTTAGGGCGGGCAGGAAAGCGTGGAAATTGTCTTTCAAATCCACTAATGAAACATCATGTCGACTGAGGCTGGAGAACAAGGAGCAGTACTCCTTCTATGTTCAGGCACTCCACAACCAAACCCTGTCTCCAAAATCCAACCTAGTCACCTTCAAGCCTTTCCGGGACAGTATGTCGTCTTTTATGACTAAAAAGACTTTCAGGATTCCCTCGAAAAGTGGCTTGCTAAGATACTTAATACTGCGCAAACAACTAATCTTTAAAGCATTCAACATTATTTAATTTAACTTTTTAACGTTCAACCAGGAAATCACCTTTGATTTATAGAATCAATTAAATGTTGAAATGATATCAAGTAAAGTTCAAACAGACTTGGTTATCCAGTCTAACCTTGTGAAGCTAAGCTCTCTTAAAGGGAGCCTCCACACAGCCAGCTTCTTTTTGTACTTTTCCATCAGCTCTACATGGTTTTCCATTTGTGTCCTCTCCAGATGGCTGATGGGATGACAGGGAAAGGCACACAGACACCCTTAGTTCAGCTCTGTTCTCATGCTCTGTGTTAATGTGAGAAGCTGTGTAGTCTGAAACGACTTGTAGATGAGATGGTTAGATATGTCATTTCTGCACATTTATTACTTCCAGTTTTTCTTTAACTTTGAAGACGTAAGCACCAACATTGAAGTCCTTTAAATATTTGTTCTTTTTGGCATCTGTTTTGGGTGTAAAGTTAATTTGGTAAAGTCCATGGACCAGGTCACCACCACTTTGCATTGTGGACTCAGGGCCAGCATCTGGTTTTTGTCTTCTTGGTCTTCTCCAAGTTGAGCCACTAAGTGTTTTATTGCCAGCCAAAGGAATTGGTCCCAGACATGTAAAGCGTTCCTAATGGTAGAATTAGGTGTCGTGTGTCTTCATTTGGCTTCATGCAAAGCATTGCTCTTGTTGAAACACTCAATGCAGCTAAAATAGAAACGTGCAGTTTCGGTGTTGAAGCAGAAGTGAATCTGATTTTTTATGTTTTTCTCCTCTTTAAACTAGCTTTGTTTTTCTTTTGATAAGCCACAATAGGTCCCCCAGAGCTGTCTCTCTCTGGACATGGCACATACATCCATGTCAACATTTCACTGCCTAAAGCTGATAAACTCTCAAAGATTGATGATATCCAGAAGTTCTTTGATCCCAAGTTCATTGTCCTGTGGAGAAAAGAGAATGGAAAAGTACACGTAAGAATTCTTACTTACTTGCTTTCTTCTACTTTAAACAGGAAATAAGGTGCTTTAAAGCACGTCTTAGCTGCCTGCCACATTCAGACTGCAGCAGAGTGCATTTGGATGTGTGTCTGTACATATTATAATGGACAAAATGATAATATGTACATTACATAAATAGTACAGTCCCAAGTTTGTGTGTTCCTGTTTGTAGTAGATTTCAGTGCATACAGGCAGATAAAGTAAAGCCCAGAGGTAGAACTAAGATACTCTGCTGGAAACTTTGGATTTGTGAACGTCGCAAATGGATCAAGTCAAGATTTTTATGTAATTTCTTTTTAGGAGTTTGAAACCCATAAAAAGAGTTTTCCAATCAAAGACTTGGAGGAAGGTGTGGAATACTGGGTACAGGTGGACATGAAGATACGTTCAAACCGACACACAAAGCCTTCTGCCTGGTGTCGTGTGTGGACAAGCCCTCAGAAGCAGACACGTGGTAAGCTGAGCCTTCACCTGGGGGGGGGGGGGGGGGGGGGGGGGGTGGGCGGGGGGGGGGGGGGGGGCAGGGGGGGTGGCTCCTAGTGAAATGTTGAAAACATGAATTAATTTCAAATGAATTCATTGTCTTGATTTGGCCCCATATGAGAAGCAGGAATTTAAGCCTTTGTGAATTCAAACGTATCTGACACACAGTGTCCATGACGTGTGTGTGTGTGTGTGTGTGTCTTTTAGTTCCCGTTTTTGTTGGAGTTGTCAGTATTCTTCTGGTTTTTATAATCATCATCCTGATAATGGGCAGCTTTACCTGCTGCAGACTGAAGACATCTGTTCCCAGATCTTTAATGGTAAGCTAAGCTTTCTGTTCTTTGAATGATCTTAAACATGTCAGGCAGGAATTATCAGACCAAGAACAGAGAGCATGTCTCTAGAATCAGCTCTCCCAGACTCTGGATTTAATGCTGAGTGTTGACCTTTGATCAGCTTTAGTGTTGCAAGCTTGCTGGAAACTCTGTTGAATTGGATGTTAGTGGAAGGCTTTTTTTTTTCTTGTAAAAAGTTCCTAGTCAAAGTACTACGAATAACCACAACAATCCGATGGTTGGTCTTCCACGTCTTGCCTCTACACTCCTCTGCTTTTTCCTAGAAATGTTTTTTGCAATAGAAATGATGTATTTTTTTTACCTGGAACTTTATCCATATACTTGGATTAGTCTAAAATGCGTGCTCAGCTGTTGAGGACATATTTCAACTTTAAAATATTTCACAGACAGAGTTTCTAAAGTTACTGTGGTGTTGTCTCACTTTCTCTCTTTGTTTGTTTCCTCTTTCCCATTCCAGATAGTTCTTGGCAAAAACAACATCCTGACCCCAAAGAGGCTGATACCAGACCAGATCTCCATTGGCTCTGAAAATGGGAAAAAGGATAAACGTAAAGATCCCAGAACATCAGGTCCTGACAATACGTCGGGGGAGGAGGACAACAGTGATGATGAGAGCGATACGGGGAATCTGTATTTGGGCAGAGATGAAGGACGCTCTTTGTCTGAAAGCTCCTATCAGGAATCTGGTAGTTTATGTGAGCAAAGCAAGATGGCGAAAGACTCTGAGGATGTCCCGGTAGTCTCGTTAGCAGAGACAGAGAGACTGGAACCAGAATCTGATCACGAAGACACCAAAGCAGAAGGAGCACAGACGTGTTTCAGGAACAGCTCTGGACTGCAGTCCCCATTGAGAGGAGATGAGGCAGGAGGACTGAAGGAGGAGAGTCTGGTTTGGGACGTCTCTGGCAACGTCAATCTGTTCTCTGTCACCCTTGCGTCATTAAGTGTCGGCAATGAAGCTGGGGAAGAAGCCAAGCGGCACACAGAAGACTCTAGTCTGGGGCTTTTGAGCCAGACAAGCTCACAAACAGAACTAGACGATCCGCCAACCGCAGAGCTGACGGATCAGACACACGAAGACACCGAGGCCCCATGTGCTGACAGATGTGCAGAAACATGGCTCCTGACGGACGAGGACGAGGAAGACTTCTCTGAGTACTTGGGACACAGATGATTTGTTGGTATTCTACATGTGTACACATTCCGTTTTGTAATTCAGATCACTTTATTTGCACCAGTGTTTTAAAAAAAAAAAAAAGAACATTTCTCTGTTTGAGTCATGTACATGCACAGTTATGCATTTCATATTGATTTGGGGATGAATTTTGCAAACATTGTCCAACAATAATGTGATCGAGTGTCACCCCCAGTCCACAATTGGCCTTTGTCCTGCGGGTTTTAGGTCTTTCCTGCTTCAACACGCCTGTTTCACATGAGTGCACCGTTAGCAGGCCGGGGCAGAGCTTAACAATGCTTTAAAGACGTACAATTAATCTGAATCAGGTCTGTAGATGCAGGGGAACACCGAAAACCTCCAGAAGATCGACCGTGGAGGCCTAGAAATCTCCCTGCTCTGATGGAAATGCACAAAACAAACAAAAAAAAGTAGAAGCAAGCAGAGAATGTACAAGTGGAAAACCCCATTTGTCAAAAACAAGCCTGCTTTTGAGCAGTGGGAGGAAGCCAGAGGACCCAGATTGAGCATTCAAGTAATGTGAAACTTAAAATAGTGGAAGTAGATGAATTGGTGCTACCATGATCCTTGTGCCGCAGTCAGGTCTTTGTAAGACAGAATCCATTAATAAGATGAGCAATAATCCGATCAGTTTGGAGAGAAAAACAGATTTAATGGTTTTGTTTTTGTCTGGCTGCTTTTGTTTTTTTGTTCAAATCAGGGAAAGAAAGGAGAGAAAAAAACTGTATTTACATGCAAATTGTTATTGCAATAGTACTCTTTAAGTGGCTTCTTTTAATTGAATAAAACAGCAAAGGGATGTGCTGCTGTGGGGGGAGGGGGGAGGGGGGGTAGGAAAAAAAACATTTCACAGAACAGACTGCTTTCTTCGTATTCAGCCATTATGTGTGATTCTTTTCATGGAACGCTTCACAAGGTAGACCACATCCTCTGGTCCCCGCCGGGTTCGGGGACATGTGACTTAACGAAAGCCGACAAAGTGTTGGTGTTTTGTACATTTCTGCTGGCTGCCTTCAGATGGAATAAAATGCGTGAGGACTCGTTTCAGTTGGTGTCAAACTCGCTGCAGTGTCCTGCTGTCAGCTACGTCTCAACGAGAATTGATCCACAATTCTGAGGTTTTTGGGTATAAACGCCTGTAATGATATAAAGAGAATCCCTTTAGCGTTCTCAGTTAAAAAGAAGGGAATGTGCATGAAGGTGTTTCTAAGCACAGATCAGCTGTAATTGTGATTTATGCAGATGTTTTGTACTCTGAAATAATGATGCAGGAAATTATAACAAATACTTATTTTGATGACAAATCTCTTTGAAAGTCTTATAAGACAACAGATCACTTTTGGTGACGTCTCACCCATTCGGATTAAGATTTAGCACTTTAAATCTGTCCAAAACATTCAGTAAAATAAATTAAGTCCAGGCTTGACGCCCACTTGGCTCCAAACACCAAAGCATAATGAGCCGTCAGGTGTCTGAGTTCCAGAAGGTTTCGGTCCTGCATGAATGAAGCAGCTGATTGGACCTGATCTCACAAGGGGGAGATGCTCACTTGGAGTGCTTTTTTTTCTTTTTTTTTTACTTAAATGATGGTAGACCGTAGGATATTTAACTACCTTCATCAAGCAGACACTCATCAGAGTGCACCTGTGAGGAGATGGAGGATTCATGGGTGAATGAATGCAGCGTGGAAACTGAAGGGTTGCTTTTTATTGAGTTACATAAACAGAACTTTCCAATCTGGGAAAAATCAAGCTGTCTCTAAGACTTTATAAACTCAATGCCTATACTTAAGCAACTTTAAAAGCCTGATGAAGGCTGAATAAACTAAACCAAGACTAAGTTTGTCTCACCTTCTGTCTTTAAACTTTAACATTAAATAATAATATCAGGACATTTAATGGAGGATTATTAAAGCACAAAACTACTCTTCTAATTGTGTATTGTGGCGGTTGGAAATGGTCAGCCTACAATCAGTACAGCATAAATGTATGGTCAAAATTAAGTCATTTTGGTTCTCTTAAATAAGAAGATAGGTGTAACCATTCTGGGAGGGCACAAAACTGCTTCATGCCCAGTGTAATATAGATTTAAAGGCACCCTTCAAAGGGTGGTAAAACAAGTTTGTCCGAAGTATCTATAACTGTTCAGAGCGATATTGTGTTATTTCACCTTAATCACTTTTCGGCAGGCCCAAAACTGCTGGAATAACCACATACAAGAATTGTGGTGGGTGGAAATGACTGGTTGGCCTATAATCTGTGCAATATTGCTCTCATAGAGGAAATCAAGATGCTTTAAGACAATCTTATCGGGTCATTATATGATACATTGTTTTCTGAGGTGATATTAAATATTGTTTATAATCGAAAGAATGAAAAATGGTTCATTTATCTGTAATAAACCTTCTCATTACGGGTTTCTAAAGCATCTTCCTGCAGCTGCTGCTGATGTGAGGCGATGAAAGTTTATCTGTTGCGCAATATTGCGCAATGGGTTATGGGTACTTCGTTGTATCTTACACTACATTTGATTTTAAAGGAAGCACTGAATCTAATTTCGTAAATATTTGGAGAATTTGAATTTATTTTGTCGTGGCATATGCTCGGGAACTTCTGACAGACTCACGTCCGGGAAGTTTTTCCAGCCGATGTGTCTAGTTTTGAGATAAATTGATCAGGCACCGATACGGACACCTACTCCCCGGAATCAGCGGTCTTCACAAAACTAAAACAGAAAACAACGGGAACCGCTAAACTGTGGTTACACCGTGAAGAAGACAAAACGGTTCAGCGGCTGTGTGGCATTCCTGAAGTTAACGGTGTCTTACCAAACGAACAACTATGTTTACTGAACAACTTCTCTAGTAAATGGGTCACTTTAGCATCTTTCTACTGCTACCTAGCAACACTTTTTCGGTGAGTTAAACAACCCTCGGTTGAGATGTTCACCGTTTCCGTGGCGGTTACATTTCCTTTCATTTTAAAAGGGCTGTCGTAATCAAATTCAGCCCTATGTTTGGTGAAAAAATTTATAGAAGGCTGAAAGAAAAGGTCACGGACGGACAGCCGATTCGTCATGACAAACCTGGCTCATAACGAAAACGAAAGGAGCCTTCGGAGGGGGCGGCGGAGCGGGGGTGTGGGCTGGAGGGGCCCTGCGCTCGGTCTCCTGCTCTGGGCCTCGTGTCTGCCCCCGGCCCGGACAGGTAAGATAGTTACACCTCCCTTTCTGCTATCACAGTCTATGGGAAGCATTTGCTTTTCTTTTTTATAGGAATTCTACTTCTAGGGATTGTGGAGCATTTTAAAACTCAAGTATTTAATCCTACAACAAAGGACATTTTAAAGGCTTTGGTGGAACTGATAGTTGTGCTGTAGGCTTTTACTTTCTGAATTATTGTTTAATGTTTGAGAGAAACAGAGATGAAGCAAACTTTCTATTTTACATCACCACCAAACATGCAATTAAGCAGCGAGGAAGTATTGACACAAGATAAAATTAAACCTCCAACCCCAACCCGAACAGAGGGAAACGCCTGGAAATGAATGAATCTGTGAATTAAGTCCACTTGTCCTGAGCACACCCATTGCTCAGTGGCCGTTTTAACCTAATCCACATTGGGCACGGGCATGTTTGCTCATGCATTGCGTGTCCCTTTTGGTCACTGACTTTTAGATAAGTCCATTCAGGGTGCAGGTATTTGACCATTGGTCTTTCCTCTTGTGCTTTCCCAGAAGATGTCACCTGCAGTGTTTACCAGCAGTGCTCTTCTGATCTTTAGCGGTCCAAAACACCAGCGTGCACATTTGGCTACTCTTCATCAACATTTTAGGGTCTTTGCTGATTAGTTTTTGAAGGGCGACATGTTAGGTCTCTACAACGGGGCATGATTTTAGCAGCGTTTTACTGTAGACACGCTTCACAAAAACAGGCCTCTGATTAGGAGCATTTTGCCTAATGATGCTGTAACATTTGTGTTTTTTAATTTTTTTTATTTCAGCTTTGGCTGAGCTCCCAATGCCCATCAATATTTCCCTGAATCCAAACCATTACAATTATATACTTAAATGGGACCCTGGACCAGACACTCCCAAAGGAACCTACTACAATGTCAGCATTGAAACAGAAAGGTGCATTTTCCTTTATTTTCTATTCCTTTTACAACCATATCTAGTCACATTCTTTTTGAGTGGCTGCTAAGCTGAGCACTTTTCCCTTTGTCAGACCTTTTAAACGTCTTTATGTTTTTGTGTTTTACTCTTCTTTGAATGCACAGAGTTTCCCCGATTCCTGTCTGCGAGCGCGTCCAGCACCCACTGATGTGCAACCTGACGGAGGCTTTCTCTGACCCAATGGAGACCTACACGGCCGCGGTCACTGCTGTGCTGGGAGCCCAGTTCTCAGAGCCCACCCTCACAGAAGGATTCACACCCATCAGTGAGTGGTAAACTCGCTGTGGGTTGAAGTGGGCCGGTTACTCTTCCTGTTAGTGGTGGGACATCTTTCAGGATGACAGTGGGACAACCCCTTAAGGAAGAGCTTTGGATTACAGCTCTTTTGGCCCCTGTTTTTAATAGTTGTGCAGTTGCTTATCAATATAGAAGAATTTCTAAGAAAGAAAATGCAGCATTTACAGAGCATATGTCAGTGTGTCTGCACCAGATTAGTACCTCCATTAGGCCTTAAACAATCCTTCTCATCTCCGTCTCTCCCAGAATTCATGCCCCCCCCCCTGCTGACGGTCACATCCTGCGGCACACATCTGTGCGTGGACCTTTGGCCTCCCCAGCAGCGCTTTTTGGAAACCTATAACAATATGCATTACCAGCTGAAGATAAAGAGCAACGAGAAACATGGAGGAGAGGTACTAAACTCAGAGTACTCTGCGTGTTCGTTCACCTGTGCTGTGACCAGCAGGATTCAAGCAAACAATTAAAAACGATGTCAGGCTTCACACATGGAGCTGTTAGCCTGTGGCAACTATGAATAGTTGAGAGAATGCCTGCCATAGTCGTCTATAGTCAGACGTCCATTATTTCTATGTATATCAGACACAAATGGAGTTTTTTCCATTAGCGCCTACACGGTTTAGGCGGTTTTTCATAACGAATTACAGCCGAGCAGAGAGACGGCCGACTGGTGCGTGGCTTCACTGAAGGACATCCGGTGACCGACTAAACCTCAGTGGGTTGGTGTATCAGGCATAACCAACGTGTATGGTCACAGAAAAAATTCAGTTACAGCTTTACTGTTGCCCCGTTTTTAAAATCAATGGGGTTTCGTGTGACCAACCAGTGGCCGGCAGTCTGGTGGAACCCCGGCTGAGTGGTCCCAAAGCTGTGGCTGTTTAGCTCCAAATACTGTTGAGCAGGCACTAGTGGAAAAGGGAGGCCCAGCAGTAAGCTTTTCAAACCTAGTGTGATCGGTTTCACTGATGTGACATCTGTCTGTGCTGTCTCTGAATGAAGTTCTTCACAGAAATCTGGACTCTGAAGCGAAAGGTTTTACAGACTCTGGCCCGTGGCAGCGAATACTGTGTCTCGGTGCGCTTCTTGGACCAGGACATCCCGGAGGCCCCCTTCAGCCAGTCTGTTTGTGCTTTCACACCCGGTCTTTTCCCCTCAGGTACCTTTCCAGATGTTTGTTGTGTACTGGTCAGATGAGCAAGCTGCATGCAACCGAAGCACGACTTTAGTTATTCAAATGTTTTTTTGTTTTTTGTTTTTTTAAATTACATTTGACTTTTTTTAGCTGCTGAAAGCTCATATGCTTTTAGAGATCCAGGAGGTCCTTTTTCCAAGAGCTGTAAGGTTGTTTTTTTTAACAGTGACAACTTACTTTTCTCACATTTATTTATTTATTTATTTCTGCTAATTTTCTGTTATTCTTTTATTATTTTCTGAGCTACATGACTATCTGAATTTCTCGTATGGGGGATGAATAAAGTATTTTTCTATTTTTGTGCCAAAATTGTCTACTATATTGTTTAAAGTGTAAGAACTGTTATTACCTTGTATTTGCATTTATTCTTGCACATGTTACTAAATGAACCCACTTGTTTGGTTTTCTTATCAAAGAAACAAGCTTAGTGTTTGTGACCCAAACTGGAATTATGTTGTGTCAGAACTTCTGGATTTAGATGTGAACTATGCCTCTTTTCCGTAGACGCCCTGACCTCAACCGTCTTGTGCATAGCGGTGTTTCTCTGTGTCGTGGTTTTGGCCCTGCTCTTCTACACTGGTTTTATTTGTCTGAGGAAGAAGCCCATGCCCACAGTCCTGGTACGTAAATGCATACTGACTTACTTGTATATGAAATAGTCGTGTTGCATTTTTTTTCGCAGCACCTGTTAACACCTGTTAACAGCACAGATCAAGAGGAATGCTGGCATTAAATCAGCCTGTTGACCTGCTGGAAAACACAGAAAAGCTCATTAAAATGTCTCAATCCTGAGCGTTGGCCACCGGATACACGATCAAATAATGTACTTATAAGTAGATTAGAAATACTAATTCATCACAGCCCCTGTGCAGGGGGTGGATATGGAATGAGTCGCCCAAAGATGGCGAATGAGACAGGGCGTTAGAGGCCAACAGACTATAATAACAAGACCACAGGACTGTCTGAGACGGAGCCCAAAGCAAATGGTACAAACAGTTTTTATTTGACTGTAATAAGCTGCATCCAGGCATCAGTGAGAGCATGTGCTGAGCATTTTTATCCACCTGGTCATCATCTTTCCTATTGCTTTTACCCGGTAGGGACCAGGTTTTTGTATAGAATCCAAGGAAGCTGTGATGGTTATGTTTGTTAGCCATGAACACACAACGCTGCACAGCTTGTAAGGACAAAGGGACCCTCTGTGTGAAAGATCCTGCCAGCGGGAACCAAAAGTCCAACCGTTTTCTCTTCTCTTTGTGTTGCAGACATCCATCCAGCACTTGGAGGAGCTCCTTGCCGCTGCACATCCGGCCTCCGTGTTGAAAACGTGGCCGACTGGACCTTCTAAAGGCGACAAGAGCCTCAAGCTGTCCCTCTCAGATGACAGCGACGAGGAGTTTGCGACAGAGAGCACCAGTGAGAGCTCAAAAAGAGGTTATAAAGTTTGTGTGGGCAATGGTCTCTCCTCATCTTCAGATTTTTTGGCCCCTTTATCCCCTGAGCCCGGTCTGCCATCCCCAGACCTGTTAGACGGGACGAGACCACAGACGTCAGGAGAAACTGCGTCTGGCACCCCGGTGAACGGTCTGCCTGCAGATAGCTTGAATGCAGAGCAGAGAGAGAAGGAAATGTCTGAGGAGAACGCTGGCTGGGAGGTGAACCTGCTGACATTAACCTTTGGCCGGCCAGAGGAGGAGCAGGGGGGGGAGCAGGAGGAGTCTCTGCACCAGACTGCAGAGCTGGACGATGTAACTGATGCTGAGGAGTACCATGATCCTCCACCCCCCCCCCATAAAGCTGCAGCAGAGGCTGAGTCCTGTCCCGTTACTGAGGAGGAGGAGGAGGAGGAAGATTCTGGATACATGGAGCGCATACCTGCAGATGTCAGAGAGAAATATTTGTTGGAGCTTGCCTCCAGCAACCCTTCAACCCTGAAAATGGATTAAGTAGTTACAGGAGAGGGGTGGAGGGACCTGAGGCTGATAGCCAGTTTCTTTTTTTATGATTTCAACCACTGTGGAGACTGAAGATGTCAGAGTGAGGCTCTCACTTCTCTGATTCCCTCATTTCATACACAACACAGCTCAACCTGAAAGAGCACCCGCTCAGCCGGGGCTCAAGGGGGGTCATAAAAGTGCCCCCCTCCCTTTTTAAAATCATTTCATTAGCATTGTGAATTCACGATGCCAACACCGGGGGTCTGCCGATACGCAGCAGTCTGGGCCTGTAGAGGGAGGAAAGGTGCATCATGGGAGCCCCCCCCCCCCCCCCAGCAGTCTGGGCCTCCCTTACTGCCCAACCCTTAGTGACTTAGTTCATATGGGATGTGTTATTTTCTTAAAGGATTCTAAAAGGCCCACAAAGCCCGAAAGCACAGTGGAGGGAAGAAAAACAACAAAAATAGTAACTGATCGCTATGTTTTTTTGTCGTCCTCATGCCAGCTGGCTGTTTTTATTAGGCACAGTAATTAAAGCCATGTTACAATAAGCCAAAAGGCCCAGGGATCCTATTGGATCTGGAACCTTCTAGAGGTAGATGTCCTGTTATCTAAACCCCTGTGTGGCTTTAGAGTACAGTCACATCTGAGATGAAGTGTAACTGAACAATTCTGATCAGAAATGTACCGGTACTCAGGAATTTCAGATCCGGTCCAGCCCGACCCCAGGTCAGACAGAGGTACAGATTATAGACAGAATGCACAGCGAAGAGGCTTTTAGAGAAAAGAAAATCTCTACATTTCTTTGTGTTATTGCCAAAAATGCACTTTTGAGGATATGTTACTTGTATTTTTTATTCATGATAATGAGCAGAAACGTGGAACAAATCTCCCAAGTCCCGGATCTCATGTCCTTTTTATTCCTGCAATCATTTCTGGCCGGCTTGACCACAGTGATGCTCTTTTCTCTGGTCCTGAGAACCAGAAGGACTCAGCTCCCCAGTCTGTCCTGAGGTCCTGACTCCGGCCGGCAGTCACAGACTGTAAGTGCACAAACCACTCCACAGCACATGGCTGATTTAGTTTTTGGTGAATGTGAACCGAGCAGGATATCCCCGGATATCAAATGAGCGACAACGTTCAACATTCATAAAAAGTTCAACGTGTTTGTCCCATTTTACTGCACTTTTTTTTAACCTTTTCTGTGATTTATATTGTCGCTTGTCCGCCTGTTATTAAAGATCAAATCTAGAGCTGTGAAACAGCAACAGGAATTAACCGTACACGTATTCAGCGTCTCCAGAAGACGTTAGCGCTTCACAGGCTTCATGGCTGCAGAGCACAGGCTCACTGCCTCCAGCTTAGATCTGGACGCTTCGCATCGCATCTTTAGGATGAACTCTTTGGTTCAGGAGACCAATCAGGAGCCGGCGGGGTGAATGTGTAGGCCCCTCGTCTTCTAACCATTGTTCAGATATTCCTACATACAATAAATGTTTCTTTGTCTACCCACTGGGATTTCTTTATGACTGGCTCATGTTCGGCTGTTAGTCGTGTCATGTTGTGAGCGTGCAGGTTGCAGGATGATCCCTTTATATCTCTTATATTCCTATTCTATTTCCACATTTTAAACATGTGACCATGTGATAAACACGCTGCCATCCAGACCAAAAACAATCTGCTGCACTAAATACAAAAGCAAGTCCTTCTGGATTCTTCATGTTTGGTGCACGACATTTTAAATAGGATTCTAGTAGTTTATATTTAATTTATATTGATAGTCGTCTGCAATAAGGAAATACAGACAATGGCTGAGTTTTAAGGAAAAACCTGAACCTTCTACTGTCATCATGGGGGAGTTCTTTTGGCCTGCTATGGCTTCCCCTGACCTCTTGGAAAGACCAACATAATTTAGGTAGTAGTTATTAATGATGAACCCACATAAAACATGTACTTTGTAGTGGGTTTTATGTTTTCCTAAATGCCAGTGAATGTGACACACACTGACCAATTCAGAATGAGCTTCGTTTGGTTTGTTTTCAGTGGAACGTGAGTACGTTTCCATTCCATCAGCTCCTGTCTCTCACTACCAGGCGAGTGTGTCTGTTTTTTCCCCAGCAGAGGAGCCGTCCGGCCCACCTGTGAGGAGTTCAGTGTCATCACCAGTGATCAGGACCTGCTCCCGTCCACATCCACAGGCCTCCGTAGCAGCGGCTCCGATCTGCCAGGGACAGAAGTAGTCATCGTTCCTACAGAAGGGGGCAGTGTGGCCCTACTTTGGCAGCTAGAGTTGTAAGACTCACATACAAGCATTTCTGTTACCAAAAGTATCCGTCACTCTGTCAGTTTGCTGCTCTTGTCCTCACACTAATGCACAGCCAACATTTTAAACAAAAACTAGGGTGTAAATAAAATAAAAGAAGTACAAATTTGGCAAAAATGCAAGAGGCCGTTGAGATCTTCTGTTAAATCGTCAACGATAAAACTTTTTACCGTTCTTTAATGCTCATTTGTGCTGAAAATAATCAGAAGACACAGTTGTGATCATTCTGATTCTAATGAACTCACATCAGATACAAAACTGCTCTTTTTTCTACCCAGTTCATCCACAAATGACTTGATTTCCGATGCATCTTCATCACTTGAAGATCAGATCATCTCAATTAGCACAGATTAGTCTGATTCTCTATTCAAACCCAAAATATTATTTTTTCCAAAATGCTGCATCAGTCAGTGCTGAATCGTATTGTGTTCTGTGGGGTCAGAGGGGTAAAGATCCATCTAGATCCCCCAAACCTGAGCCCTGTTTGACTTATTTTCTGCTCCAAAGAAAAGCAGATGGATGTTTGTTGGTGTTAAATGTGATCCTGAGCAAGTCTGTCTTCAAAAAGTCTGTTTCTGATGGATTTCTTTGAAAAATGTGTCTTCTCTCTTCTTTTTGCTCAGGCTGAGATTTATATTTAAAGGGTGTATTCTCCCTCTGCTCCCTCACCAGGCTCTTGTAGACACATTCACACAGTTACATATCAGCCAATGACAAAGTGACACTGATGGAGGGCAGCTGAATACCTTATGTGTGGGTGAGTGATGGACCACTCACCCTGATGACTGTTGCCCAAAGGCGTGCATGTGAATGAGCGCGAGCGTGTGCTCACAGAGAGCCGGAGCAGCACTGGGGACAGAATTATACTCCAACCTGCATGAAACCTCGACAGGAAAGAAAGAGGGGTCAAACACCGGGTGAGCCAAGAGAATAATAAGCAGCAGCACTGATGTGCACACATTCAGACCGAACCCCTCCGGGAACAAACTCCATGACTTACATTCATGAGGTTCATGAAAGAAACCTACACATGACTCACCCAGCACAGCGCCTCCACACACACACACACACACACACACCTAAACACAGGAACTGGGCAGAGATTCAGAGGCACAGATTGAAGGTGATTATAATTCACAGTGAAGTCTGGCTGGTTTGGTTATCTCCGGCTCATCCGTCTATTTCTGTGTGCACGTGTGGCTGAGCACACATCCAGGTAGCAGGGAAAACACACCAGGAACATATAAATCACAAAGAGAGACGTATTAAGAAAGGACAGCAGGAGAAAAAAGTAATCAAAGCAATTGTAAAAAAATTTGTTATTGGATGGGTTCAATCTTTCATCTTCAAAGAAAGGTTAAAAAAAAGAAAACAGGACAGCACAGTGTGAGGTCTCCTGTTACCACGACAACCATCAACTTTTGATTAAATTAGTGTTGTGGCTGACTTTTTTAAGTGCACTAAATTATTTTGATAAAAATGTGTTTAAAAAATCAATTCCATTATACGTGTCTATTGGTGAAAAGAATAAGAAATGACTAGATTTGCAAGTCTGAAAAAACATTATTTTATTGATAATAGAGCATAGAAAATATATCAGATGTTGATTGAAAGACAGTTTTATGTTGTAAAAGAGACATTAGCATATCTTTAATCTCTTGACTGACCTCAGGAACTTGGCCTTGTTGGATTTCACAGAGTAGCATTTTTCTTGCATCTCTTATGTATTTCACACGAGAGCAGTCAATAAACACTTAATCCAAAATGGTGACACAAGCTTTTGAGGAGATGCTTTGTCAGCTGTCACTTTCACATTTAATTTGAGGCTGGTCATTTTCTACTATGCTTTTTGTTTAAAGACATTATCGGCTATGAGAATTACGCCTGTTTTCAATAAATACGAATCATCCATAAAAGTAAATATGCCCCACGTGGAGTCAGAAGTATCTCATGAATTGATGGTTAATACACAGTGACGTTTGTTGGTATATAGTTTGCAAAATACCAAAAACTAGTGGAAATTTGTGAATGTTTTAGATCAAACTGGTGAAAAATATCAAAACGTAAAGGAAAAATACTTTTGTTGTCCCAGAATATGATTTGATTCTATAAAATCTAACTTCCCCCTGTTTGTCCAGGCAACTACCATTTTGAATCTTTCTCTGTTTCCCAGAGCAGAGCGACACCGAAGAGGGGCATGAAGAGGAATGCACGTGGGTTCATGATGCAGAAGCTGAAACGGTTCAGATGTGAGGAAGACTGAGGAAGACCAGGGGGTTGAAAACAGGAGGCCTGATCAGTGATCAGCAGCAGCTGGGAGGACTGAACACAGGTGAGTGGATCACCAATCCCACAGGGAGAATATAGACACCCACAGCGAGAAAGTGGACAGAAAACACAAGGAAGTAAACTAAGACGAAACATGTTGGGTTTTAAAACATAAAGGCTAATACACAAAATGGAAAAAAACAAATAAACAGACCAATAACTGAAGAGCAACGTTTCAGCTATTGAAATACTGTTGAAAGGTTATCACTCCAAAAAAAGGTTTGTCTTTTTGTTTTTTGTTTTTCATTTAGGTTGAAAATGTTCTAAACCATGCTTTCTAAACTAAAAACCAAACTTAGATAGAATGATATATCGTTAGGTCTTAATGGATTTTACTCAGCTGCATCTGCCAAAGCAT